ATTTTGGACTAAATTTATTGCATTTTTTAATTGGAAATGTTTTATAGCAAAAAGTAAAAAAGGTTTTTTTTTTTTCAAAATTGTCAGTCTTTTTTTGTTTATAGCACAAAAAATAAAAAATGCAGAGGCGATCAAATACCAGTAAAAGGAAGCTCTATTTGTGGGAAAAAAAGAATATAAATTTCATTTATGTACAGCATTGCATGACCGCGCAATTGTCAGTTAAAGTAACGCACCGCTGTATCACAAACAATGGTCTGGTCAGGCAGGGGAGTAAATCCTCAGGAGGGCAAGTGGTTAAATAAACCAAGCACAGGAGGTTAGTGTGGATATAGCCTGTACTTCTCAGTTACTTTCTCCAGTGTTTAAATATTCCAAGCCTAGCGATGATAGCGTGACTGAAGCCTCAGGCTTGCAGACAAAGAGGTAGCAGTAGCTGTCACCCACCTGTAGATTGGCTTGCCATAGCACTCAGTGATGAGACCCTTCTTGCGGAAGGAAGGTGGCTGCACTGTCTTGTCACAGCCCAGCCTCAGTCTGCTGTCTGTGTCCAATTCTTCCTATGTATATGTATCAGGTTGAACATTTCTTTGTCTCTTGTTACTTCCTGTAAACAGCATTCTCCTCCCCGATCAGCTTTCTCCTCCCTCTCCTTCTAGTCTGGCTGTTCTGTCTTCACCATGTATGCATGTACTCACCCGGCCAGCTTGCACTGGACACCGCTGTCCTGAACTGACATCCTTCCACTCACACAGCCCTGTCTATATATATATATATATATATATATATATATATATATATAATCAGGGGCGGACTGACAACTCATGGGCCCCCCGGGCAATAGGGGATCATGGGGCCCCTGTGTCCTTGCCCAAACCCAAAAAAGCCTATGAAAAAGGTACCAGGGGCATCTCATGGAGCCCCCTACTCACCCCGGGCCCTCGGGCAGTGCCCGAGTTTCCAAATGGTCAGTCCGCCCCTGATATATATATATATATATATATATAAATAAAAGGGTCTTTGACCTTTATGTTGCAAATGACCACTAGAAGTAATCTGACTTTCACTTTATATAAAAGAGGTCTGGATTTACCCTAGGTTCACACCTAAGCGATTTCCGCAGCATTTTGCAGAAATGCACTACAGACCATTTAACGTGATTTCCTATTGGATAGGTTCACACCTCCGCATTTTCTCCCGCTGTGTTTTTTGGAAAGGGTCAGGAACTTTTTTGTACGCAAAAAGTTGCATTTTTGGTTCTATAGTCTTCAATGGAAACACTGCAGAAAGGCATGTAGTGCAATTTTGATGCGTTTTGCGATTTGAATCTGCCTAGCAACAAGAAAAAATAATGCAAAACACATAAAAAACGTGGCAAAGTGCAAAAACGCAACACACTGCAGAAATGGATCAAATGCAAACTGCATAGGTGTGAACCTAGCCTCACAGTGTGACTTGCCTGGAAGGCTTCACCTATCATTCTGGCTTTTCTAGAAAACTGACAATAGATAAATAACATCGAGGCATATTTATCGAGTAAACACTTCTTTTCTAATCATTCATGAAATAATTTTCTGAAGGAAGTGCGGGCACACTCAGGTTACTTATAGAGGAGCTCCAGTCATTTTTAAAAAATGAAAAGACAAATACTATAGCTGCTGACTTAAGGGGATTGATTTACTAAAGGTACTGCAAATAGGCTGTGCACTACAAATCCACTCCAAGAGCACTTGGATGTGCACTGAGAGTGCAGTTGCTCTAGATCTAAGGGGAACATGCAAGGAAAATAATAAAAACTTTTTTGCTTGCACTTGATTGGATGAAAGAAATCAGCAGAGCTTCACCTCATTTCAGAGCTTCCCCTCTGATCTAAAGCAACTGTGCTTGCAGTGAACAGCCTATTTGCTTTTAGTAAATCAACCCCAAAGTGTTACTAAGTCCACAAAGCTAAAATCAGCCTGTATATGCAGTAAAGCATGCTTGTTATACTCACTGTGGAACCTAAGGGGTTAATTCTCTGGGTTGTGTAAAAAGGATGTTTGATCTTGTCTTCTGTGATCCTCCCCTTCTTCCAGTGTACCCAACTCATCTCTTGCCTTTGGGACAAGCTGCACATGCTCAGTTTGGTGTGTATTTCTAGAGCAGGTTTTTTTTTTTTTTATCTTGGGAGAGTGCATGTGATTAGAGCAAATCAGCACTGTTCAGACAGAGGGTCAGGGGTCCTGCAGTCTCATAGGACAGTAAGAAGAAAATGAAAACCCCTCCTATAAGCTTTAGCTGGACACTAATAGAAGTCACAAGACTGCTCTAACTGCTGATGAGAAAAGGTATTTAGTAATGAAGGGAGAACGGCGGCCTCTCGTCTTCATCTGTGACCACCGGCACACTGTGGCAGGTCTGTAGCGGTGGTAGATGGGGCTGTCTCTGCTGGATGGGCTGTCTCTTTACTGGGTGAGCTGTCTCTTTGCTGAGTGGCTGTCTCTTTGCTGGGCTGGCTGTCGCTTTGCTGGATGAGCTGTCTCTTTGCTGGACAGCCTGTCTCTTTTCTGGATCAGCTGTCGCTTTGCTGGAGAGGCTGTCTCTTTGCTGGACAGGCTGTCTCTTTGCTGGATGGGGCTGTCTCTTTGCTGTAGGGGCTGTCTATTTGCTGGACGGACTGTATCTTTGCTGCTGGGGCTGTGTCTTTGCTGGATGAGCTGTCTCTTTGCTGGAGGGGCTGTCTCTTTGCTGGACAGGCTGTCTCTTTGTTGGACGGGCTGTCTCTTTGCTGGATGGGCTGTCTCTTTGCTGGATTAGCTGTCTCTTTGCTGGATGAGCTGTCTCTTTGCTGGAGGGGCTGTTTCTTTGCTGGAGGGGCTGTCTATTTGCTGGATGGACTGTATCTTTGCTGCTGGGGCTGTCTCTTGCTCGATGAGCTGTCTCTTTGCTGGATGGCTGTCTCTTTGCTGGACAGCTGTCTCTGCTGGATGAGCTGTGTCTTTGCTGGATGGGCTGTCTCTTTGCTGGATGAGCTGTCCCTTTGCTGGATGGCTGGTTCTTTGCTGGATGGGCTGTCTCTGCTGGATAGGCTGTCTCTGCTGGATGGGCTGTCTCTTTGCTGGACTGGGCTGTCTCTTTGCCCAGTTGGGTCCAGCAAAGAGACATCCCAATCCAGCAAAGAGACAGCTCAGTCCAAGAAGGGACATCCCCATCCAGCAAAAAGACATCCCGTCTTTGCTATATGGGGATGTCTCTTTGCTGTACGGGCTGTCTCTTTGCTGTACGGGCTGTCTCTTTGCTGGGCGGTCTGTCTCTTTGCTGGACTGGGCTGTCTCTGCCCAGTTGGGTCCAGCAAAGAGACATCCCAATCCAGCAAAGAGACAGCTCAGTCCAAGAAGGGACATCCCCACCCAGCAAAGAGACATCCCAAACCAGCAAAGAGACAGCCAACTCCAAGAAGGAACATCCCCATCCAGCAAAGAGACATCCCTGTCCAGCAAATGGACATCCCGTCTTTGCTACATAGGGATGTCTCGTTGCTGGATTAGACCATCTCTTTGAATATATAGGGGGCACTGTGATTAGATCTCTAGGGGCACTGTAATGTAAAGGGGCACTGAGATATAAAGGGGACTGCGCTATAAAGAGGCACTGTAATCAAACAGTTCCTCTTTACAGTGCAGTCCCTGTCAGGAATGGACTTGCCAGTAATGGTGGGACTCACCTGCCTTGTGGACTGCAGTACCAGGGCTGGCCAGCGGGTGCTCTCAGCAATCAGAGACTCAACCCTGCAGTCAGCCAAAACACCTGAGGCTGATTGCAGGTGTATTTAAGGGATGGCCAGACCTTCAGTCTGTGCCTTGGTGTGTGTTTTTCTATGGGCTCCTGTATCTTGTTACCTGCATTCCTGGTCCTGTCTGACTGATTCGTTGCTGACCCTGCCTGATCCGGACCTCTGCTGACTTCTCCTGTTTGATCCCTGGCTTGTGACCCCGACCATTCTCTGCCTGACCCCCTGTACCTACCTGCCCGTTAGTTGCTGTACCCGGCTCGTGACCTGACTACTCTCTGCCTGCTCCCCCTGTTCCTACCTGCCCGATTGTTATTGACCTGGCCTGCCTGACGACGCTTGCATTGTATGTATTGCTATCTGTGGGTGGTTTGGTTTGTTTGCACTGTGTTATGTTTTAGTATTGCACTGCGTTTATGTATTGTTAGTATTAATAAATTATATTGTTTATAACATATTTGAAGCCTGCGTTTCCCTGCGTCAGTTCACATACGTCTGGTCATACCCTGGAGCCCTGACATTACACCAAGGCCAATCCTGACCAGAAGTGGCTGCACAGGGAAGCCATCTTGGCTTGTTGCTGGGAAGGATGGATCTTGACGAGGTTGTGTATTTGTCGCTGCTGGTTTTTGATGACAGAGAATATGCTTATCAGACTCTGAGGGAGTATACCCGGGATCAACTGCTAGAATGTATACGGGTCGCTCATGTTCTAGTAGATCAGGGCACAGAGTTCTCTGAGGTGCAACCTTTGATTCAGGTTTGTGTAGAGTTGGCTTCATCGGGTACCCCTGAAAGCAGGAATGACTTTTTGCCACCATTTAGTGTAGACCAGGTAGAATCCCTGGTATGGTTATTAGAGGATGATGTGGATTACTTCTTGGAGCATTATGCTGCATGTTCACCACAGGTATTAAGGGATTGTATAAATGCAGTGCAGTCTTTGACCAGACAGGCTTTGTGTAAGCTCAGCTTTGTTCAACCCATACTGCAGACATGGTCAGACTTGTTGCACCCAGCCTCAGTCAGCTTGCAACGTCATTCCTCTGCTCGAGGCACTCTTCCTGCACCCCCGACAGCACCCCCAGTGACGGCCCAGTATACTCTGCTAACTACCACATACCAGTCCCCTGCTCCCACTCGCTGCACCTATCCTTTCTTTGGCCCTGTGGAGAGGTCCTCTGTGGCGGCTGCTCCCTCCTCTGTTCCATCTTCCAGCTCTTCTCTGTCCTCAGCTGCTCCATTCGTTTGCAGACCTGCGTTTACTTGCAGTGCTCCAGTAGTTAAAACCAGAAAAAAGCAAAAATTCTTTCCAACCAGTACCATCCTGCCAGTATCCAAACCGGTGAGCCTGCCGTCTGAGAACCTGCCTTCCGTGGTTCAGCCTGGTGCCTCGGCACCCCGCACTTCAGCCTGATGTCCCTACCCAGCCTGATGTCCCTACCCAGCCTGATGTCTGTACCCAGCCTGATGAACTGATCCAGCCTGATGATCCTATCACGCCTGATGACCCAGTGCCCGCTGTCATGCCTGGTGACCGATGCCCCCTGTCGAGCCAGACGATCCGGTACCTGATGACCCGGTGCCCGCTGTCATACCTGGTGACCCGATGCCCGCCGTCGAGCCAGACGATCCAATGCCTGATGACCCAGTGCCCGCTGTCATGCCTGGTGACCCGATGCCCGCTGTCGAGCCAGACGATCCAGCGCCAGATGACCCGGTGCCTGCTGTCGAGCCAGACGATCCGGTACCTGATGACCCGGTGCCCGCTGTCGAGCCAATTGACTCAGAGCCCACTGTCGTGCCTGGTGACTCGGTGCCCACTGCCTTGCCAGATGACGCGGTGCCCGCTGTCGAGCCAAATGACCTGATGCCTGGTGACCCGATGCCCGCTGTCGAGCCAGACGATCCAACACCAGATGACCCGGTGCCCGCTGTCGATCCAGACGATCCGGTACCTGATGACCCGGTGCCCGCTGTCATGCCTGGTGACCCGATGCCCGCTGTCGAGCCAATTGACTCAGAGCCCACTGTCGTGCCTGGTGACTCGGTGCCCACTGCCTTGCCAGATGACGCGGTGCCCGCTGGCGAGCCACATGACCTGATGCCTGATGACCCAGTGCCCGCTGTCATACCTGGTGACCCGATGCCCGCTGTCGAGCCAGACAATCCAATGCCTGATGACCCAGTGCCCGCTGTCATGCCTGGTGACCCGATGCCCGCTGTCGAGCCAGACGATCCAATGCCTGATGACCCAGTGCCCGCTTGCATGCCTGGTGACCCCATGCCCGCTGTCGAGCCAGACGATCCAGCGCCAGATGACCCGGTGCCTGCTGTCGAGCCAGACGATCCGGTACCTGATGACCCGGTGCCCGCTGTGGTGCCAATTGACTCAGAGCCCACTGTCGTGCCTGGTGACTCGGTGCCCACTGCCTTGCCAGATGACGCGGTGCCCGCTGTCGAGCCAAATGACCTGATGCCTGGTGACCCGATGCCCGCTGTCGAGCCAGACGATCCAATGTCTGACCCAGTGCCCGCGGTCATGCCAGTTGACTCAGAACCCACTGTCGTGCCTGGTGACTCGGTGCCCACTGCCTTGCCAGATGACGCGGTGCCCGCTGTCGAGCCAAATGACCTGATGCCTGGTGACCCGGTGCCCGCTGTCGAGCCAGACGATCCAACATCCCAGATGACCCGGTGCCCCTGCTGTCGATCCAGACGATCCGGTACCTGATGACCCGGTGCCCGCTGTCGATCCGCGATCCGGTCATGACCCCTGGTGACCCGATGCCTGCAGCTCCGCCTGAGGGCCCTGGGCGCCCGCCGCTGCCCGCTACCTGGGGGCCTGGCGCCCGCCGCTCCGCCTGGGGGCCCCCACCGCCCCGCCTGGGGGCCCGGCGCCAGACCCGTACCGCTCCGCCTGAGGGCCCCAGCGCCCGCCCTGCCGCTCCGCCTGAGGGCCCACCGCTCCGCCTGGGGGCCCGGCGCCCGCCCCGCCGCTCCGCCTGAGGGCCCACCGCTCCGCCTGGGGGGGGGGCCCGGCGCCCACCCTGCCTGGGGCCCGCCGCCCCGCCTGCCTGGGGCCCTGCCCCCGCCCGCCGCCCGCCTGGGGCCCTGTGCCCGCCACCCCGCCTGGGGGCCCTGTGCCCCCGCCGCCCGTGTGCCCGCCACCCTGCCTGGGGGCCCTGTGCCTCTGCCCGGAGTCCAGCCCGATGTGCCTCTGCCCGGAGTCCAGCCCGATGTGCCTCTGCCCGGAGTCCAGCCCGATGTGCCTCTGCCCGGAGTCCAGCCCGATGTGCCTCTGCCCGGAGTCCAGCCCGATGTGCCGCTGCCCGGAGTCCAGCCCGATGTGCCAGTCTTTGATATCCCGCCAGTTACCAGACCTGGGCGGTGGAACATTTTGCCCAGCTAGGACTGTTTGGAGCGTCCTGAGGCCGCTCCTTGAGGGGGGGGGGGGTACTGTCAGGAATGGACTTGCCAGTAATGGTGGGACTCACCTGCCTTGTGGGCTGCAGTACCAGGGCTGGCCAGCGGGTGCTCTCAGCAATCAGAGACTTAACCCTGCAGTCAGCCAAAACACCTGAGGCTGATTGCAGGTGTATTTAAGGGATGGCCAGACCTGCAGTCTGTGCCTTGGTGTGTGTTTTTCTATGGTCCCCTGTATCTTGTTACCTGCATTCCTGTTCTTGTTCCTGTCTGACTGATTCGTTGCTGACCCTGCCTGATCCGGACCTCTGCTGACTTCTCCTGTTTGATCCCTGGCTTGTGACCCGACCATTCTCTGCCTGACCCCCTGTACCTACCTGCCCGTTAGTTGCTGTACCCGGCTTGTGACCTGACTACTCTCTGCCTGCTCCTCCTGTTCCTACCTGCCCGACCTGGCCTGCCTGACGACGCTTGCATTGTATGTATTGTTATCTGTGGGTGGTTTGGTTCGTTTGCACTGTGTTATGTTTTAGTATTGCACTGCGTTTATGTATTGTTAGTATTAATAAATTATATTGTTTATAACATATCTGAAGCCTGCGTTTCCCTGCGTCAATTCACATACCTCTGGTCATACCCTGGAGTCCTGACAGTCACCTTTTATATTACAGAGCGGAGAACCGACGTAAATATTCTATCATCAACTGCCCCCACGAGTGCCCTTGCACCCCCCCCCCTGAAAATTGGCTGCTCAGTCTAAAATGACCGGGCCTTTTTTTTGTCCCAGACCAGGCCTGAGTTCAACTATGTTTAAACATTAGTCAGAACCTGTCTGAGCTGTCCTGCCTGGAAGCTGTCACTGCAGACAACCAATCATAATTCCCCACTCTGCAGCTGCAGGACAAGGAATGCCTGCATCACTTATGATTGGCTGTCCATAGTGACAATTTTCTGGCTGGACTTGTGTCTGAACACATTTGAAAAATTTCTTTACCAAACAATCTCTTCCTATAAGAATAGTCATTATATAGTTGACTACCCATGTGATCAATATACCACACGAGGAAGTGGATTTCAAACAATAGTTAAGATACGATCATGACTTTAAGTTATCAATTGCATATCTATTTCCGCTATGTAATTTCTTAGTACAGTCAATCAAAATGGTCAAATGCATGAGCAAAAGTATCTCAGTGCTGCCAATTGATACAAAATGGCTACTGATTAGATTGTTTTAATCAAATTGCACATTAATCGGATAATGAAATTGAAGTGTATATGGCCATCAATAAAGGGATATTCACTTCCTCTATTCGTTCCATTAACCATTATCACTGAGAGTGAAAGTGTTCTACCTCCAGCAGGGGAATATAAACTCACCAGCCACTTTATTGGGTACACCTGTTCAATTGTTTGGTAACACAAATTGCTAATCAGCCAATCACATGGCAGCAAGTCCATGCATGCATTTAGACATGCATTTAGACATCTAGAAGTGGTGAAGATGACTTGCTGAAGTTCAAACTGAGCATCAGAATGAGGAAGAAAGGGGATTTAAGGGACTTTGAAAGTGACATGGTTGTTGGTGCCAGACAGGCTGATCTGAGTATTTCAAAAACTGCTGATCTACTGGGATTTTCATGCACAACCATCTCTAGGGTTTACAGAGAATGGCCTGAAAAAAGAGAAAATATTTAGTGAGTGGCATGAAAATGCATTGTTGAAGTCAGAGGAGAATGGGCAGACTGGTTCAAGATGATAGAAAGGCAGCAGTAACTCAAATAACTACTTGTTACAACCAAGGTATGTATAATACCATCTTTGACACACAACACGTTGAAGCTTGAAGTAGATGGATTACAGCAGCAGAAAACCACACCGGGTGCCACTCCTGTCAGCTAAGAACAAGAAATGGAGGCTCCAATTTGCACAGGATCACCATAATTGGACCATAGAAGATTGGAAAGACATTGCCTGGTCTGATGAGTCTCGATTTCAGTTGCGACATTCAGGTGGTAGGGTCAAAATTTGGCGTAAACAAAATGAAAGCATGGATCCATCCTGCCATGTATCTACGATTCAGGCTGGTGGTGGTGGTATAATGGTGTTGGGGATATTTTCTTGGCATACTTTGGGCCCCTTAGTACCAACTGAGCATCATTTAAATGCCATGGCCTACCTGAGTATTGTTGCTGACCATGTCCACCCCTTTATGACTAGTGTCTCCATCTTCTGATGGCTACTTCCAGCAGGATAATCCACCATGTCACAAAGCTCAAATCATCTCAAACTGGTTTCCTGAACATGACAATGACTGCACTGTATTCCAATGGCCTCCAGTCACCAGATCTCAATCCAATAGAGCACCTTTGGGATGTGGTGGAACGGGAGATTTGCATCATGAATGTGCAGCTGACAAATCTGCAGCAACTGCGTGATGCTATCACGTCAATATGGACCAAAATCTGTGAGGAATGTTTTCAACACATTGTTGAATCTATACCATGAATAATTAAGGCAGTTCTGGAGGCTAAAGGGGGGTCCAACCCGGTACTACAAGGTGTATCTAATAAAGTGGCTGGTGAGTGTATTACATCTGTCCTGCCTGCAATATCAAAGTTGACCACAAGATGGAGCCAGTAATAAATTTATTGTTTTACAGAAACTAGAAACCGTTTAGACAAGAGCTAAGAGTTAATAAAAATTACCATAATTCTGAGAGGGAAGAGATGCATCTGGGGAGCTCAGACTCCATCTTAGAGATTGGGAGAGAAGGAATCAGCCATCAGAGCAGTTGTTGGACTGAAACTTGCATCTCTTTGCATCCCCTAAAGGCAGCATCGCTGGTAGGCTTGGACTTTCTGCCATCTATAACCAAACTATTCATTGTGTTTTCTGTATGTTCTTACTTTAATTGTATGTATTTCTCCTCTGTTGTTACTAATAGTTTCACCCACCCTGGTTTGTTAATACAGCTTCAAGATTACATTCAGTGTGGCTTATTGCAGAATAGGAGGGTTTAGCTGTATGTCGAGTTACACACAGGGAAATGTGCAGCAAGGACAAAACAGAAAGAAAAGGAACAGAGGAGACAGGAGACATCTTCCAACGGGGACACTAGTTCTGGTGACCAACAGGAATTCCCTCACTTTGGGGGTACTTCTTTTTATTTCCTATTTTTTGGACTATAAGACAGGAAGTGATGGGAAATTTCTGCAATGGGACACAGATGGCAAGAACCCCTCTTAAGCAGGCCATACATGGGTCGAATTCTGAACGATTTTTCGATTGAAGTTTGTTCTGTAATTCGATGGTACCACCAATGATTTCAAAAATCGGTAGTTTTTTTCATGAATTTTCCAACATGCCCGATAAACGAAATGGGGAGGAACCACAAAAATCAGCCGTTGCTGTTGCCCCACTAACAGAGCAAAAATCGTCCGATTATTGTTAGGTCCGATTTTCGAAAGAAAAATTGTTCGGAAATCGACCCATGTATGACTGGCCTAAGGTGAAGTTTAGACATGGGTCACGTTTGGCAGGCTTGCAGTCTGCTGATCGCAACATGTTGGGCAATTTTTGCTGCGGGCTCAAGTGAGGCATCATGACTGCAGCATCTGAACCATTGCAGCTTAAGGGGGGCTTTGGGGCACTAAAAATGCAGCTCAATCATGTGTTTTTACCACCCCCAATCATTAATCTAAAAGAGGCCTTTCTCAAGCCAAAAGAAAAGTTTTGTATTTATTTCTACTTCTAAAAAATATTGCTAGGAATGTTTAATTCTCATCTTACACAAACTATTAGAGACATATAAATCTTGTATAATACTGTTTTTCA